GTATGAAATGAAATAACAAAACATCATTCCTTTTTTGGAAATTTTGTATCTGTACAAAGTGTGTGAACGACATACTTACTGGTCAAATAATACAGCACACATTTGACTACGTCATCAACAGAAGGTACTGTGTGTAATTAGATGATTGTTAACCACCACTGCCTTGTGGGAAGTTCCTGTAAGAACGAAGTCTAGGGCAACCAAGCCCGACAGAAAATGTGGGTAGGCAGAGCTCATAAGCCCTGAAAGGCAATCAGCCTATGGCAGGAGGAATCCTGAAAATAAACCTCAACCGTCGGAAGATGTCAGCCTACTTGGCACGGGACTAAAAATTGGACATCTACGCACTAGCGATATGGTCATGCAAACAACATTATTACGTTATGGTGTCATTCCTATGGGACGTGGACGGGTAGGGATGGCGTCGGGCCCCCTGCCTCGAAGGGGCCCACCCCAAGCTACTAGAGCCGACAGCATAAACAAACTCAACAGGAAAGAACAAACAACAATTTTTAGACTTTGGATTGGACACTGTGGTCTTCGAGCACACCTGTACAGGATAGGCATAAAAGAATCTGCTGCCTGTGATTGTGGAGCAGAAAGACAGACCCGTGGGCACATACTGCAGTACTGCCCTTACCTCTCCTAGCAAAGACAGTGGATCTGGTCCAAGGGAGCCACATTGAAAGAGAAGCTATGGAGGACAGGTGGTGACCTCAAATGCACAATCCTATTTGTGACCCAGACGGGACTCAATGTTTAGCATGACTGATGTTGAACGCAGAAGAAGAAAAAGAAGGAAGACCTATTTCTGGACCCCTGGCCATTTTAAGGAAAACCCGGACTGATGAAAAGGCAGATGATTCTTTGAAGACCACGTCACAATACATGTAGGAACTGAAAGAAAAGTTGAAGCTAGGATGGGACCTGGCTAAAGAGAATTTGATCCGTGCATTAAAAGGTACGCTGCACACTTCAACCGGAAGACGAAGGAACAATGTCTCGAGGTTGGGAAAAGGTTCTGTTACTTCTACCACCGAGGAGATCCAAGATAGATTTAGCTTGGGGAAAAGATCTCTAGAACCCACTACAGAATCAACATTAGAGGTAAGTCCAAAGTTTATCACACTAATCTTCTCCGGAAGTACAACAAGAGAGAGGCAAGTGCTGCTGAGGCTCTCTTAACACCTTCTGTAGATGATCAGGTGGATGGAGGATTGGTCACAGTTGTGAAGAATCCATCTCACAGGGAGACCCATAAAGAGACAGAAGTCAACCCTATTCTCTCTTTCTCCCATAATTGTTTCATTGTCTAGGAGCGGCAAGAAACCCAGTTGCAGGTAAAAGAGGAACGGAGTATAACTCTGGACCTCCAGAAGGACCTGAAGGCGGAGAATTTTAAATTCACACCAGGGTACCTTCTTGAGTTTGTTGGAACACATGGTAACTAGGCGATGCATAGTTATTCCAAACCTAGTGAAGGATCAGACGGTGGAGAATCACATCTAAGTTCACATATTTGTGAAGACAGAGGCTTGCTGCCCTTGTGCTGTTTAACTATCTCTGAGTCACTGATTCATCCAAGAGTATCCTTGAGCATGGGATTATAACTAACCTGGAAGCCAGATCGACAATCAAGCATCCAAACCGTATCCAGTGTACCCCACAGTCAGCAGCCAGAAAGAAGAATGTTTCACCATGTCACTCCTGTTAATGCCCCTGTTGGTGACTCTAAAGTGCCAGTAGTCTACTACATATGGTAGTCATCACCAGTTCATAGTGTGGGAAACAGTGATTGGTGTAGCCATATTTCCTGCCTCTATTAGAGGGTGGTAGAAACTTTAAAATAGAATAATCATGAACACAGACTCTACCTCCATGATATACCTAAGACAGTAACAGTGTATATTTTGTGGGTATCTAGTTAGTCACTGCTTCAAGTCATGATTGACAGTATGCTGTATTTTGCTTCAAGGAGGAGTTCATGGGTCAGCACACCAGCTTTCTTAGATGTGTGAGGAGACCTTCCTCCAAGGAACCTGACTTTGTGACAGATAAGTAAGAAAAGCCAGCACCTGCAGTTAATCTTATACCTAAGTGCTAGTTCCCTGGGTCCAGAATTCCACATTTTTGCAATGATAATATTGGCTGCAATTAGGGACAACCCAGATGCTTATCTGTCATAACTTGTCTTTGCTTCATCAGTGGTGATTGATCTGGCCGAATTTCTTTCTTTATTATTCCTACAAGTGTTGCAGTGATTACATGATGTTTGGGGATTTTTACATTCTGTATTTAGTGTCCATCTTTCACAGTTCCTAGTTTTCTGAAGTGTTTGTGGTAATGTTATACTGCATGTTATATTGTGTTTATTTTGACTAGCATAGTAGTAATATCTATCTAGTCTGGGGGCTTAATAGTAGTGAAGAAGTCTGGCCAAATTGCGCCTAGGAATGTTAATGTATTCTATAATGTCATTATCTGAGTCGCCTCACCCCTGAAGTAGGCTGGATGTTCAATGGAGCTGTGAGATTCTGCCTAGACCATTGCGAGCCAACATCTCAACATCAAAAACTACTTCAGAGTGCTTTATGGGTCATTAGGGGATACTCTAAAAAAGGCACATGACACTAGCATTATGTGACAGTAATACAGGGCAAATGGAATTGCACTCTGCAACAAGTTCAAAGTCACTACACAGAGCGAATGAGGGGCACTTTATCAGGTGTGGCTGCACATGAAGAGTAGAAACATTCACTGTTAAGCTGAGAATTTCTGTCACACACAGAGAGACCCAAAGGAGCATGAGTAAGGTTCTTTAGGGATCCTTAACAATTTGTTTGAGACCTTTTTGAGCATTGAACATCAGGGACACTGGTGATAGACATAAAAGAGAGGGCTGCTAGGGTTTTGTTCCCACCACAGCCACTAAAACGCCCTCTAGCTTATGCTTGACTTTATTGGTCAAAAGCAGCCAAACAGAATTGCCGGCAGATAAGATAATGAACCGAGGACCCACACCATCTTTAACTACCATGCATGATAAAATAGGTCAGGATGGGAAAAGAACTGAACACATCACATGTTGTAATTACAGGTGACAATTCACCATCACATTCACTGGATATCAATACACCATCATACACAGGTGATATCAATTCACCATCATACACGGGTGATATCAATTCACCATCGTACACAGGTGATATCAATTCACCATCATACATGGGTGATATCAATTCACCATCATACATGGGTGATATCAATTCACCATCATACATGGGTGATATTAATTCACCATCGTACACGGGTGATATCAATTCACCATCATACACGGCTGATATCAATTCACCACCATGCTAGGATTTAAATAATTTACTAACATGATTTGGTGATAGCAGTTCTGCTGGTAGCATCATCAGTAAAAGCATACCTGCCTATACTCTGAACTTACTCAATCATTAGAGGATGGTCTACAACAAGGTATTGCTAAAAACTCGGTGGCGACCTTAAACGCAGTCCTATTTTTGACCCAGACGGGACTCAATATGTAGCATGACTGATGTCGAACGCAGAAGAAGAAGAAGAAGAAGCTAAAAACTCTGCAGACACTGTTTCTAATTACAGAAAATAACATGTTACTGTGTCCATGATAATAAAGTAACCTGCATAAATAACGAAGGCTAACAAAAATCTAAGAAGACCACATCACAGTCTGTCGAGTGAACACTCTTTATATACCCATATGCGTGCACGGATTTCAGGCTCTTAATGTAAAAAATAAAACTCAGGACTTGTCTTCTTCAAGTTCCGCCATCATGGATGACCAGTCATCTCACATATCACACATACATCTCTTTGAATAAGCACATTGTCAACACCCTGATGCCGACTGTAAGTCTATGCTCAGAGATTGTAGAAAGAATGCATGCATTGAAATACCTGGGGATATGACTTGACTGTAGCCTGGTTTATTCTAAGAACTTAGACCAGGTGATAATAAAAGCCAAGCGGGACTTGGCTGTGATGAGGGTGGTGGCTGCAGCAAACCGTGAGTGATGTCATTTATGTCTTTTATATAAGCGTCTGGTCATTTTTAGATTGTGATCCTGAGGACATAGAACCTAAATTGGTGAGGAAAGGGTACAAGTACCAACAGAGTGCTGTACGACCATTTTAGTTTGCATCCGACTAGACAGAAAATCCCCCGGGGGCCGCGTTAGTGCAGTCGATATGAGGCTCGCTTTCAAATCCAGCTGCGACTCGCTGCAGCCCATGGTCGGTGTTCAAAACCGGAAGGTTCCCGGGGTTCACCCAGCCTCTAGGTAATGGGTACCATAGTTAACTTTCTAGGGTAAATGGAGGAACGTCGCTGTAGCTGCAGAGTTACGTGCGGACAGCGTTACAGGTGGACAATTTCTTATCAGCTGTCCGTACTGGTGGCAAGGCACTTATGGTTTATAACGGTGTGCAATGATGCTGGTTCACATATCCCGACTTTACCTTCACCTAGACAGAAAATACATACGAGAAATTGATTGTTAGTTTTTACTCTTGTGGAATGATTTTCTGTGGTTTGGATGTCTGCAGGATTATGGCCAAAGCTAAAGAGCTATGTACTTTGGTAAGCATTTAGTATCATGCATTTACATTCTGTCCAGTAATGGCGGACGATCCCATGCAAAGGAAAGCAAGTTTTATGCCAGCTCAGCAAGTGTGGCTGACATCAAGCAATGACTGGATATTAAAAACTGTAGCAAGAGAATCACGACCTACAAATTAGCAGCTTGAAACAAATATTCTGACTACAGTTGCCGTAGTTATGACATCTGGCCTTGACAAATCAAGTGCTGTAATGGTAGACATGATATACAAAATATTGCTTTACCAAGGTACTGCAGGCCATTGTGCTACTGCAGATTTTCAGAAGTACAAGTAATGTTACCATTGTGAAGGAACATAATGTTACCAAATCCTTTCTTATACAATGCCCGCAAATATCACAAAAACACATTAAATAAAGTATCCTCTGGAAATGATGCTTCTGACCTTCCATGGGCTGTTACCAAACTCTCATCTGCCGTCTTCTTCAACTGTTCTTCTCTTGCCGACAGCAACTCTATTAACTGCTTTCTTTTCGCCGCCAGCATTTTCACATTAAATTTATGCTTCTTGCTTTTTAGATGGCCTGCAGACAAGAACAGAAACCCGAATTACTACACAAGCATACAATTTTTTTAAATCAGGAAAAAAAATTGCAAATTCTTACTGCAGTCAATGCCTTGTCACAGATGTATTTAAGGTAATACACAGGCGCATCATCATAAGGATACTAAAAACTTTTATTTCAAGGAAATTTCTGTTATTATTTGGCTCAAAATGCAAAGACCCTAATTACATTTCAAAACTATCTGACTAAACATACGCACATCCATGTTTCTCAACACCAGTTTTTCTGCTAGATATAAAATGTAACTCTTCCTGTCCCAAGAATCAGGAAGTGCTTCAATGATTCCTCAATGTGTATCCCAAATATGGCATTATGCATTCTCACACTTGAGCCCTCTGCCAAATGATGAACCTGGACAGTGTAGAGGCTACTTTCTTCTTCTTCTTCTTTTTTTTTTAAAATTCTTACATTTATTGTAAAATTGCTTTTAAGGGGTGGGCAGGAATTAAAAGAACAATTAAAGATTACAATCTGAATTTTCTTCATTTTCACTGGATGTAAGCTCCTAGCTGAAAGTCGTGGTTGTTTATCCATTTAGACTTTGGCTGCATGAAACAATCAATAGAAAAAAAAAAGAGCACAGGTAGTCACCTGCAGTGTGCATAGGCTAGGATTTATATTTAATTAAATATCCTTTGCCATATCAAAAATGATAAATTTTGATCACAACATCCTTAACTCATAATTCTGGGGTGGCCATCGCTCCTCTCCCAGGCATAAAAAAAAAGGGGGGTGGGGGAATAACTGTTACCCTGATCTTATTTACCACTTGTTTAGGGTGTTATAAGTAGAAGACTCTTGAGCCTAACTACTAAAGCTACATGGCTAGTGCTGTCAGGAACTGTGCAGGCTAGCACATTTATTTCTGCTTCATCACATTAGCAAGGATTCAAACCTGGGTCTCATTCATAAAAGTTAAATGTGAAATGACCAATACCAATCTTGCTCACCTGCCCATTCATGCGAGTGTAAAAAGATCCGGCCCCCACAGAGATCACAAACATTTCTCTCTAACTGAGTTTCCACTTTAGGAACGACCATCTCGGGAGCTTTCCTGGGTAGCTCTCCCTGGGAACAGAAAGAAATTAATTTCAATATCCACTAGCTGATTATGCAAACCAAGTTTCAAACCATATTATTAGTGCAACACAAACGGGAGGATAACATTAGAAGACAATGCGCCAATCTTCAATGTGGAGACAGCACCCGACTGATGATTGACTGACTAGTGCTTTACAAACAGAAGCCAACACAGACCTGTTGCAAAATATCAGATTCAAAGGACAGTACTCATTGAACATGCCAAAGGTAAATGCAGGGGGTGCCTAGCTGATCATGCATCTTAGTACATTTGTTCCTGTACCGAGGCGCTGTCATCATTTGGAGGTGACAGGTTCTATTCCTGGTATGGTAACTACCGCTTTCCATTTTTTGTGTCTGGTGTATCCTCCTTTTTTCTACTTATTTCTGTGAGTGACGATCAATATATGTTTATTTGTTTATATATATATATATATGTGTGTGTGTGTGTATATGTATATATATAAATTAAAGATAACCACAGGAAATGGAGGTGACAAAACATGAAAAAGAAAAGATTGTTCTAAGGTAGATTCAACGATAAGGTGTGGAGTATAAGGCCTTATACTCTAGGGAACAGCGTAACTAAGATGTGGTGGCCAGTTTCCTTGCTCCTCAGACAGGTTTGTGTTTCTCACCAGATAGTTCCCTTGCCAGTAAATTCTAAAGATTATCCAATATAAGTACGGTACTGTAATAGAAGACAAGAAACTGCAGAAGATGAATTATAACTCAGACATGCCATAGGTGCTGCAATGTTCCCAGTGCCAGAAAGCTGAGGCAAGACCGACTCCACAGGTGCACCGGACACAAACAAAACTACCACTCTTAGGGATTTAGCCTTCAGCAAGCATATAACCAGTCTTGCCAAACAGATACCTTATTAACCTGCATGTTTTCACTTCTGCTTGCTAGACAACTTTTCCAATATGGCTCATAAGCAGGATGTAAGCTTTAAAGTCTTTCCCAGTGCCTAATGTTTTATGTTGTAGAGATGCTCCTGTGGCAAAATTCCTTGAATCTGACTGGCAGTCTGGGCAATTCTGTAAAAAATGCTCTGGAGTTTCGGTGAGCCAAAAACCACATCCAGCCGAGTTACAAAGACTCATTCAATGTAGGTGTGCTCTGAGTTAACAGTTAACCATTCTGAAAATTTTGGTCTGAACATTTCTGCCAAGCCTGTTTACACTGTCATGCTTTGGTCTGTAATTGTTATTGATCCCTTTCCAGTTTGTCTTCAAGGACTGTTTCAAGTGTTTCTTTGCCTCTTTAAAGCTCTGAAGTGGATAGGACTGTTCTTGGCTTCCGGCAGCCTTTGCAAGCTCGTTCGTCTTTCAATTTCCAGTGATAGCACACTGGGCCTGTATCCACTGGAACACTGGTTCGGTTCTTGTGCACAGCACAGCCTTCTGATGATGCTTTTAATTTCGTAAAGGATGCTGTCCTGTTTGCAGCTAAAGATTTTCTGCAAGAGTGCCCAACATTTACAAAACATATTATATGTGATTCAACTACTTTGACTTTAGTTGAGGACCAACTTTAACACCAATCTTGAAGTGACTGGTGCTTTACTTCAATTTTGTTAAACATTTTGTCTCCAGGACTGCAGCCCAAAAGACTGACACCCAGCGACTCACGTGAGCCATTAACTGGATATGAATGTGACAAGTAAATCCAAGAAACCCAATTCAACCATACCAAGCATTCCATGGTTATGAGGGAACCTGCTGTAATATGTATCATGTGAGTGATTTCCTTAAACACAGATTAATGTCTGGCAGCATGTGTAACAGACATATACTTTGTTATGTTTAATCATTATAACTTAAAGTTATTTCAATGAAATGATTATCAATGCTGAATTACACCCCCCCCCCCTTTCCCACTCATGTTTATAATTGTTGTGCTTGTTATTTAACCTATGATGCTTGGTCAATATAAATTCCTGTAACATTTGGTGCCCTTTCAATGGTTTTAGATGAATTCTGTCCATATTCCATAGTTGTGGTTTTCAAGTTGTATGATAGACATGGCCAAAAAAGACAACTATTTTGGGGGTGCCAAGTTGGTCATGTTCTTAGTACACTTGTTTCCATAGCGAGGCTCACACACCATTCCCTGTCAATACAATGTCTGTTTGTTTATTATAAATATAAACACACATACATATAAAACAAAAATATGGGTCAGCAGAAGTTGTGGTGAGACATCCCCATCTTTGTTACATGATGGATACTGAAAAATACATCACTACAAAATATATGTAAAGATAAGGAGCTAGACAATGAAAGGTATCATACAGCAATATATGCCTTGACTACTTCGACTGCCTCTTCCACTGTCTTGTCCCACTGGGTTAAGTCAGTGGAGTCCACTGCATATATGGGGGGAACATTTGACCCAGGACCTGGAGAAAAAAAAAAGAAAACATTTGTAAAACTGCACAAGCCAAACAGAAAACACAAACAAATGAACCCCTAGTGTTTTGAGTTTCTGAGTGCGGACAAATCAAGCAGCGGCTGGCCGAGTGGTTACAATGTCAGGCTTTTGTGCGGAAGACAGGGTTCGACCCTGGTAAGCTGATGGAGTTTTTCTGTCAGGGGCAAAGTTAAATATTCTAACCTGCACAGTCAGTGACAACAGCACTAGCCACCCGGCCTTAGATCCTCAGGCTCAAAACCACCCTGTCTATACCACCCAGTCTATACCACCCTGTCTATACCACCCTGTCTATACCACCCTGTCTATATCGCCCTAAAAAGGTGGTAAAACAGACAGTGGTGACAGTTTGTAGTTTTTAGATTACGGACATATCAGGTAATCGCACTTCCAACTCACAGAAAACAGGTGACCCCCATTGCCGATTGGTTCATGAGCCAACGAAAACCTGGCAGAATGACCATCAGTGTAAACTGATGTATTGTGTAGTTTGTGTGGTGCACTTTGACTGCATCTATCCACCCAGCTCTGGTCTTTCTTTAGCTACGGTAAGTAAAGTAAAGGACCCTTTTTCGCGCCTTCAGGTGCATTGGGCGTATAAGGCCAGACCTATATCTCATAGACTAAACGGCACTTGGGGTAATGTGGATAATATCACGATGGCCACCTTTACCTCCCAGGGCTAAACCTGGCACCGACTCAAGGCTGGGTCAAACTGGCAGCCATGGTCATTGTTTTTAAGTCTGACTCTATCAGGTCACAACCTTCCGATTTGCAGGCAAGCATCCAGCCGCTACTCCATGACGGCTCCTTTTAGTTATACATCTATTTAACTGTTGACTCAAAGTGAGTTGCATTTTTACAAGATGACGACTGTTTGTCTCTTTATTGGCGTCCAAACAATAAACATGGTCAGCCTCTTCTACCGTTGACCTTTTCAGTCATTATGATGTCCTCCAATGCATCTCTTCTAATCACATAGCCAAAGAAAACTGACCGCCTCTCTCTTGCCCTTATCATAGCTAATCAATAACATGCTTGGTCTCTGACAATTTTTCTGACTTATGCACCTTAATGAGGTGGCACACTGGTTAGAATCTTGATTGCCAGTCTATAGGTATAGGGTTCGAGTCTCTATTGAGGCAGATTTGTATTCAATACTGACCTTAGCCCCAGGTCGACCTTACCTTAAAATGGGTATCGGGTAATTTCCTGGGAAATAAATGCATGTAGCGGGATGCTGACCACATCACTGGCCTGAGTGCTGATTAGTCATAACAAATATGAGTCTGGGACCGATGTGCTACTGTCATTTAAAAAAAAGGTCCATTAAAAATATGAGTCTAGGACCGATGTGCTACTGCCATTAAAAAAGGTCCATTAAAAATGAGAGTATATGACCGATGTGCCTGCCATTAAAAAAAAAAGGTCCTAATACAAATAAGAGTATATGACAGATGTGCTACTGCCATTTAAAAAAAAAAGTCTATTATATATGAGTCTAGGACCGATGTGTTACTGCCATAAAAAAGGTCCCTTACAAATATGAGTCTAGGACCAATGTGTTACTGTCATAAAAAAAGGTCCATTACAAATACGAGTCTACTAGGACTGATGTGCTAGTGCCATTAAAAAAAAGTCTTTTACGTGACTCTACCATGCACCAATGAAGTTACTATATTCATATTGCCCCCTCAACAAATCAAAATTGTAAACTGCCGGCTGTACCAGCAGGATGAAGCACCGTGATGTCAGGTTAAAGATGATGGTCACCTTACTGCAAATATGTCTGCAAGGATATGAAGTCTCCGACTCCAAATTTGCTAGTCAGGGCACAAGTAAGTGGCTAGCTATCTTGTCTGTTTTTGCTGAGTTTCCTTCTGAACCAAATTCTACATATGATCTGCAGGTATGAGAGAAGGATTCTGCTAATGGACTTCATGGCTGCATGCCCAGTCAGTCACATTCTCTACCCAGATCTTTCTTAGTCTGCCTCTTCTCCTTTCCCCCTCAACTAAGGGCTGTAGTATTGTTTTTAAGAGGCCAATAGTTCTTATTACATGTCCGTACCAATGCATTTTCCATTTTTTCACAGAAGTGGTTTTTTTTTTTTTACAGTAGACTTTTCATTGTAGTGATATCAATGTGAAATTTTCTTCTACTTCTTCTGCTGCATTTCAAGACCTTGAAGTTCACTGCTGCAAAATATTACTCGACTCTATTCAGACTGAAAAGATATCAAATTGAACAAGCAGAACCAGCCAGCTTCACAACATCACAAACACAAATGACCAGTGAATATTCCATCTAAAGATCCTTCATCAGCTCATTACACAGATCTACAATACCAGAAGTATGAACAAGAATACACAAAATCCCTTACCTGAGACAAGATCTGAAAGAAATCACATTTCTTTTAGGTCGGTAGAACATCTGACACATGTGTGGCCATCACAGGCATACTGGCCAGAACAATCTGCAAGCAACAAGGGTCATCTCTGTGACTGACCTTTCCAGTTGAGGAGTCCCAAGTGTTTGTAGGTCTGTCTGTATATTATCTCTCCAATGTTTTCTTGGTCTGCCTCCTAGCTTTTACTCTCATTCAACTCTTTTGTATAGTAAAATTATAAACAAAAATATGTTCTGGCCTGGTTTTAAAATCTCAAACTTACGATTACAGAATCTGTTGGTGATCCATCGAACCTGCTGCCGAGCATAACGTCTTGTTGCCAGTTTGAGGTCTGTCACTCCTGTGGATACAATGTCATGTTTAGGTACAATGTTTAGATCAATAAAACAATGTTCGCATGTATATAAACACATCCACGAGCAGTGTATGACAATATGACTGTATGTGAATATGTGCCTGCAGGTAACAAAGAATGAAGAAAAACATATCTGAAAGGCAAGGCTGCGAGACAGATGAAAGAGAATGAACAATCGAACAAACAGACTTTATTTTCAATGAGTTGCAAATTGGGCACGCAGGCCCATCTTACATCTGGCCCTTCCACGCAACTCATCTTTCACACAACAACTGCACGTTATCAATAATTATAAAATAAGGTACATCTTGTATACACAATCAGACACACTGATGATACACGTACACATACACTCTTATATGCCTATGCGTACACAGACACCAGCACACCCATACATATACATACCGACATACACAGACTCATACAGGAGTGAGACATCCAGAAATAGAGGCACTAAAGCAGGCATGGGCAACTTTTTTTTTGCGCGTTTCGCGCGTGTGCGCATGCATACACGTGCATGTAGTTTGTGAATCAAATTTAGAATTACCAACCTGGTCACAGGCCACACAGAAAATCCATTTTAAACATAAACCCAGACTTCCTCATAACATGACATTTTTGTGGGGATAGTACAGAAAGATTACCAAATTCTTCTGCTCTTTAAACTTTTCAACCAATAAAACAAAACAAAAAAAGAACGGATGTGGCTTTATATTTTATTTTCAAAGTCCACCAACAGACACTGTCTCCTAATGTCTGAGTTTGTCCGTAACATGTGTTTCATTAGCAGGATCAAAGATTTGGCCACATTTTCTGGTTATCACTGTCTAGGTCAGCACCTGTAAACATCTGTGTAACTAAGGAAGACACCTGTAAACATCTGTGTAACTAAGGAAGACACCTGTAAACATCTGTGTAACTAAGGAAGACACCTGTAATTATCTGTGTAACTAAGGAAGACACCTGTAAACATCTGTGTATCTAAGGAAGACACCTGTAAACATCTGTGTAACTAAGGAAGACACCTGTAAACATCTGTGTAACTAAGGAAGACACCTGTAAACATCTGTGTAACTAAGGAAGACACCTGTAAACATCTGTGTAACTAAGGAAGACACCTGTAAACATCTGTGTAACTAAGAAAGACACCTGTAATGACGACAATGTATACCTTGCTGCAGCAGCTTCTGTCCACTGTCGGAGGCCCTGTCCTCGACTGACAGCTGCAGGTAGGCGTGGAACTCCTTGAACCCTATCATCTGTAAAATGCCATGTGTGTAGGTGTGCCCTGTGTCCAAGGAGCTGAGCACAGACAAACAGTGTTAGTTCATTATAAATAAGTCATAGATAGTATGTTATAAACAAGTCATAGACAGTATGTTATCTATAATTCATAGACAGTATTTTATATTAAAAAAATCAGACACAGTATGTTATAAATCAGTCATAGACAATATGTTATCAAAATGCCACAGATAGTATGTTACAAACGAGTCCTAGACATATGTTACAAACAATTAACATCCAGCGTACAGATCTGGCTAATCTGTATGTAGACTGTTGGCTCCTCACCTCTCAGACAGATCACTGCAACTCTCAAGGAAACAACACTGAATAGTCGCCTTTATGACATTTGTGTTAGTCACAGTTTGTGCACTGTACTGAGATCGTATGAATGTGACCTATGTGAAAAGTCTGGAGCACTAGTATGAGTGTGCAGTGATCATAGTCTTCCACAACTAAACTAATGTAGGCAGAGAAACTCTACAAGTCAAACTGTTGGGCAAAAACACCAACAAAAAAGATCTGGATATTATTTTAAGGAAGCATGATGATGCAGTGACTAGTCGCTTGCCTGCCATACAAATATCTTGGTTACAAATCTGAGCTGACATAAAAAAAAAAAAAAGTTAATCCAAGTTAATCCAGCCTAAAACAGATACTAGGATCTCTATGTGGGTTCAGGGGCTCTATTACAGGAAAAACAAGAAAAGACCCACTGCAGACCCACAAGCATGTTGTAAGAGCCAACTAATTGGGAGCTTTCTTCAAAATCGGAGTGCATCAGCTGGTGAATGCGAAGAAGAGGAAGATACCAGTCAATGTCCAGGAAAGTAAAAGTGGCCAGCATGCTGTTGACCACATAACCCCCCCCCCCCCCCCCCCCCCAGTGCCAGATGGTCAATAACAAAATGTCAGTCTTGCGTGATACACCTGATGTGACAGTGGCATAGTAAAGCTCCTTTACTTTTATTTATTCAGTGACAAAATAAAGGTTAAAAAAAAGGTAAAGTCGGGAGATGTGAACCAGCATTATTGCACACGGTTATAAACCATAAGTGCTCTGCCACCAGTACGAACAGCTGATAAGATCTGTTTACCTGTATCGCTGTCCGCACGTAACTCTATAGCTATAGTGGCGTTCCTCCATCAAAATACTTCACTGTAGTTAGGAAGAGTAAGTAAGTAAATTGTACCCCACCAGGACATCACACAAGCGATAAACACCCGCTGACACAAAGTGCCAGCATGCGGATGAGGATTACCTGTGCAGAGGTCCCAGAAACCTCTTTCAGTCGTCTGGCCATATTTCAGGTCTGGCTATATTTAGGGCTCCCGGCAAAAGCCAGGGTGGGGTGAAGACGTCAATGAAGGGATGTAACTTACATTATAACCCAGCCATCTCCTTGTGAGATGCAATTTTTCGTTATTTTGAAGCCCCATCCTGGCTTTTGCTAGAGGCCGCAATATAGCCCGACCATAAATATGGTCTAATGGCTGAACACGGTTTCTGGGACCTCTCCACGGGTGGTCCTCATCCGCATGGTGGCACTTTGCGTCATCAGGTGTTCATCGCTTGTGTGATGTCCTGGTGGGGTATAAGTACTGCTGCTGCTGCTGCTGCTACCACTACGACGTAACTTACTGGAAACTAGTCAACCCACAAGGTAAACAACCACTGAAGGATCATTTAAAACAAATGTGCATGTTGACCATAGCATTCATCCAATGTTGATATTGCCTATAAATATAAGCCTAGCATAGTATGTCCGATGCGCTAATGCCGTAAAAGAGTTTCTTTTCTGTACCCGGTGAGTAGTTAAAATAACTTCCGTTGACCATAATTATAATGACCCAAATGATGCAAAACGGAACTCAAGAGCTAACAGTCAACGGCACAAGGTAGACAATCACTGCGCTGCTACCAAATAAAACAGTGGATTATGTACCTTCGACCGTAAAATTCAGATCGTTAGCCAGTGACTAAAATAATGATTCCTACTGGTGGGGGTACTTTATATAACTGTACGATTACTGCAAGAGTTGAGGAGAGAGAATTTCTTCTGCTTAACGTTAACAGGATGTAACATACCGCGAAAATTGGTGGTTGTTCGTCCACTTCTGGACTTGTACCGTGTTCCGGGATTTGAGTTGTGCGTGAAAATATATTCGTCTTACAACTAGCTTTTGTTGTTGTTGTTGCAGACTACTGATTCATTCCTCTCCGATTTCGAAGGAAACACTGCTAATTAACTGCCTGTTATGGCATACTTCCACAGCTTTTCATCCCCAGTCAAAACCCAAGTGTTTACCATACCCCACCCCTCCCAAACCCCCTCAAATAGGACAGAGTATAGGACCATTTTCACGCCTTTTAATGCATCCGGCAGACATTAGTTGACCTATATTTTTTTTATAAACAATGCAGCCTGTGGTGAGGTTAACATCACGCCGGTCGCCTTTATTTCCCAGGATATTACCCAGTACACAATTTAGGCTTGGTCCACCATGGGAGCCACGGTCGGTTTTGAATAATAACCCGCCCTGAGGCGCATCTGAACCACTTTTGGACAGGCAGGAGTCTAGCCACTGCGCCACTGTAAAGTAGGACCTACTTCTGTAGATCCACATTTCTAGAGCACAAATCGACTAGCAAGTTCACTGGCCGTGATCTTCTGCCATGTTTCTACATCCACATTTCTAGAGCGCAAATCGACTAGCAAGTTCCCTGGCCATGACCTGCCAGTCAATAAAACGCTGTTATGACAAGTGTGTATAAATAGAACGATTTCCTCTGGTTGTGCAAGAGACCACTGATCGTGTTGTTGTTCACCACTCACCCCTTTAGATTTCACGCTGGTGGTGCAATCTTTGATGTGTTTTGTTTATCGAATCTTGAAAATACTCAATTAAGGACATAAGAGTGCAAAGATTGCCAGGGAAAGATTGAAAAACAAACGTAGCTGTCCTCGAGACGTGAACACCGTAAACAGTTTGTAATAGTTGGACGAAGCCAGTTTTTCGGACATGGGACATGTTTTGAGAAGGAGCCATGAGTGGGTACCAGGTGCATTCCTGGGAAGTAACGGCGGCCGGCGTGATGCTGCATCACATCACCCACCAAGTGCCGATTGATCAGATAGTATATAACAAAATATAGGTCTAGCCCTATATGCCCAATACGCTTACGGCGTGTGGAAAGGGGTATTTTACTTTTTTTTTTTTACTCTTATGAGAAGGAACAGACTTGGGATCCACAAACAAAGCACACTAACTACCTGTTGTCTCGCTTTAGTGCCTCCAGCCGAGCAACCTCCTTGTGGAAGTTTTCTAACTCCGCCACCAGCCCACGAGCCATCATCTCATCCACTCGACCATCTAGCCGAGCGTTCAAATCTGAAATAAGTGTACAGATTAAGAGGAAATAAAAGAGGAAGCCAGTTACCTCATTTGGGGGAGGTCGGGAGGTTCGAAAACGTCAAATTCTTAACACTATTTCATCTGTCCCTACTTAGTTAATTCTTTTTCTTAAACGGGCGGTAAGGACGCTCTTGTGATGGTCTCCAGTTAAGTTCGGATATCTAAGTCTTTCGGTCAAACATGTCCGATTTCAGCGCCCCTAATTAGTTGCCTTTCGCGATATGCTGATTAGTCGGTAATGCCCCCCCCCCCTTTCCCCCCAAACCCACATTGGAAATTAGTTCATTTATGAGTAAGGGACAGGGTATCTTTCAAATGCCCTTCCTAAATGATGTGATTTCTCCTAATGTCATCGAGGTTTACGGTCTCTGCTGTCACTTTGTTCCTCACGTCCTTCTTAGGACGTGATTTTTTGTTATTTGAAGCCCCACTCTGGCTTTTACCAGGGGCCCCAATATAGGCAGGCCATCAATATGGCCAATTGTCTGAACGCGGTTTCTGGGACCTCTCCACGGTGATCCTCATCCACATGGTGGCACTTTGTGTCATCGGGTGTTTATCGCTTGTGTGATGTCCTGGTGGGGTAGAAAGTCAGTCAGTCTCTGCTGTAATAAAGCATACACGCTTCGACCGAACATTGTACAGCAAAATATAACAACAACAAATGTCGACGGTTTAGACATTCAGCATCCAAGCATGAACCCACGTGTAGTCCCCGTGTGGGTTCCGGGGACCCCACTGGGGGAAGAACAAGAATAGACCCACTTTCTCCCCAACATGCATGTCGTAGAAGTCGACTTATTGGGAGCTTCCTTCGAAGTCGGAGCGCACCTGCCTGAGAGGCAAGAAACCAACAATCTGCATACAAACAAGTAAGATATATAAATAAGATATGCACGCCAACACTCAGGTTCTGGAACCAGACTAATGTCCACTGGTGGACGAACAACCAGAACTTTCCGCCGGAGTTTTACAGCAGGTGAACGCGAAGAAGAAGTGCCCAGGTGTAAAGTGGTGGCTGCTTTCCTCGCTGCAGTAAGGGCATTAGTAGTTCCAGTAGCAGCACTTGTGGCAGAATAAAGATGCAGTCTTGAATGCTGCGGCTGTGGTAGTTGCAGCAGCAGCAATTTTGTAGCAAAAGTTCTGACAGCAATAGCTGTAGTTGTAGTGGCGGTAATAAAAGCTGTGATTGTAAGGTAAGTTTTAGCAGCAACAGCAGTAGTAGCAGCAGTAATAACAGTTTTAAAAGCAACAATAATATCAGCAGCAGTAGTAGAAAGTGTAGACAGCAGCAGTAGTAGTAGAAAGTGTAGACAGCAGCAGCAGTAGTAGAAAGTGTAGACAGCAGCAGCAGTAGTAGCTAGTGTAGACAGCAGCAGCGGTAGTAGAAAGTGTAGACAGCAGCAGCAGTAGTAGAAAGTGTAGACAGCAGCAGTAGTAGTAGAAAGTGTAGACAGCAGCAGTAGTAGTAGAAAGTGTAGACGGCAGCAGCAGTAGTAGTAGAAAGTGTAGACAGCAGCAGTAGTAGTAGAAAGTGTAGACAGCAGCAGTAGTAGCAGAAAGTGTAGACAGCAGTAGTAGTAGAAAGTGTAGACAGCAGCAGTAGTAGTAGAAAGTGTAGACAGCAGCAGCAGCAGTAGAAAGTGTAGACAGCATCAGCAGTAGTAGAAAGTGTAGACAGCAGCGGCAGTAGAAAGTGTAGACAGCAGCAGCAGTAGTAGAAAGTGTAGACAGCAGCAGCAGTAGTAGAAAGTGTAGACAGCAGCAGCAGTAGAAAGTGTAGACAGCAGCAGTAGTAGTAGAAAGTGTAGACAGCAGCAGTAGTAGAAAGTGTAGACAGCAGCAGCAGTAGTAGAAAGTGTAGACAGCAGCAGCAGTAGTAGAAAGTGTAGACAGCAGCAGCAGTAGAAAATGTAGACAGCAGCAGCAGTAGTAGAAAGTGTAGACAGCAGCAGCAGTAGTAGAAAGTGTAGACAGCAGCAGTAGTAGTAGAAAGTGTAGACAACAGCAGCAGTAGAAAGTGTAGACAGCAGCAGTAGTAGTAGAAAGTGTAGACAGCAGCAGCAGCAGTAGAAAGTGTAGACAGCAGCAGTAGTAGTAGAAAGTGTAGACAGCAGCAGCAGTAGAAAGTGTAGACAGCAGCAGTAGTAGTAGAAAGTGTAGACAGCAGCAGCAGTAGAAGAAAGTGTAGACAGCAGCAGCAGTAGTAGAAAGTGTAGACAGCAGCAGCAGTAGTAGAAAGTGTAGACAGCAGCAGTAGTAGTAGAAAGTGTAGACAGCAGCAGTAGTAGTAGAAAGTGTAGACAGCAGCAGTAGTAGTAGTAGAAAGTGTAGACAGCAGCAGTAGTAGTAGTAGAAAGTGTAGACAGCAGCAGTAGTAGTAGAAAGTGTAGACAGCAGCAGCAGTAGTAGTAGAAAGTGTAGACAGCAGCAGCAGTAGAAAGTGTAGACAGCAGCAGCAGTAGTAGCAGAAAGTGTAGACAGCAGCAGTAGTAGTAGAAAGTGTAGACAGCAGCAGCAGTAGAAAGTGTAGACAGCAGAAGCAGTAGAAAGTGTAGACAGCAGCAGTAGTAGCAGAAAGTGTAGACAGCAGCAGCAGCAGTAGAAAGTGTAGACAGCAGCAGTAGTAGCAGAAAGTGTAGGCAGCAGCAGTAGTAGTAGAAGTGTAGACAGCAGCAGCAGCAGTAGAAAGTGTAGACAGCAGCAGTAGTAGTAGAAAGTGTAGACAGCAGCAGCAGCAGTAGAAAGTGTAGACAGCAGCAGCAGTAGTAGCAGAAAGTGTAGACAGCAGCAGTAGTAGTAGAAAGTGTAGACAGCAGCAGTAGTAGTAGAAAGTGTAGACAGCAGCAGTAGTAGTAGAAAGTGTAGACAGCAGTAGTAGTAGAAAGTGTAGACAGCAGCAGCAGTAGTAGCAGAAAGTGTAGACAGCAGCAGTAATAGTAGAAAGTGTAGACAGCAGTAGTAGTAGAAAGTGTAGACAGCAGCAGTAGTAGCAGAAAGTGTAGACAGCAGCAGCAGTAGTAGTAGAAAGTGTAGACAGCAGCAGTAGTAGCAGAAAGTGTAGACAGCAGCAGTAGTAGCAGAAAGTGTAGACAGCAGCAGCAGTAGCAGAAAGTGTAGACAGCAGCAGCAGTAGTAGTAGAAAGTGTAGACAGCAGCAGCGGTAGTAGCAGAAAGTGTAGACAGCAGCAGCAGTAGCAGAAAGTGTAGACAGCAGCAGCAGTAGTAGCAGAAAGTGTAGACAGCAGCAGCAGTAGCAGAAAGTGTAGACAGCAGCAGCAGCAGTAGCAGAAAGTGTAGACAGCAGCAGTAGTAGTAGAAAGTGTAGACAGCGGCAGTAGTAGTAGAAAGTGTAGACAGCAGCAGTAGTAGCAGAAAGTGTAGACAGCAGCAAAGGTAGTAACAGTTTTCACAGCTGCAAAAAATATGTAGCGGTAGTATTAGTTACAGCTGTTCTACAACAGTCGTATTGATAGAGGTGGTTGTAGTAGTAGTAACGAACAGCGGCACTGATAGAATTATTACATATTCATTACCAACACGAAAAGCCCACCTACTCAATGTTATACTGCTAACAGCGTCGCAAACCTTGTGACCTGCCATGTCTAAACTTAGTAGCTGACGTAAGCGGCTGTTTTCTCAGGCGAATCAGAGATTAAAGATATCTTAATCAGGCCGCCTGACTTTGTCGTAACCTAGTATATCTGACATCTTAATGTTTAGTACGTGGACTTTACGATTTTATCAGTAAGATGATTATGATTACGACTATGGGTACCAAGAGAATAATCAGCGAGTAACATTACCAATCAGATACGCTGTGTCAATAGTATTAGTGACAGTGTAATAACTATTAGGAAATCGACACTGTGGTAACATAGGTATTAGTAGCAGTAGCAACAGCAGTAGTAGTGGTGGTAGTAGTAGTGGTATAAACAAATATGATAATCATGAGGAGGGGTAAATGAGGAGGAGGAGGAAGAGTAGAAGGAGGAGGAGAAGAGGAGGAAGAAGAAGAAGAAGAAGAAGAAGAAGAAGAAGAAGAAGAAGAAGAAGAAGAAGAAGAAGAAGAAGAAGAAGAAGAAGAAGAAGAAGAAGAAGAAGAAGGGAATCTGTCAATCAATAAATCAATCAGAACGTACTATACAGAACGTCGCTCTTTTCCCGGCACGCCTGAAAGTCTCTCTACCTCTTGCCAATTCCCCATCCCTGTGTGCTTACATGACCAATGCATCTTCAACGTCTTGTATTCCATCTTCGCGGAGGTCAGCCTCTCCCTCGTGTTTCGGAAACTGCATCCTCCAGACCCTCAAACGCTTGACATGTCCAAAATCCCCCCCCCCCCCCCCAGCTTTCGGGGCAGGATGCTGTTTACGAGCCAGTTCTCGTGGATTTTCAGGTTATAGGGGTCTGTTCTCTACAAATCTTCTTCTTCTTAGCGTTCAGCAGCTGTAAACTCTGGTGGAAAGTTTTGGTCATTCGTCCACTCGTAGACTGTAGACTTGATCCAGAATTTGGGTTCTGTGTCCATTTCAATTTTACAGAAATGCTTACATTTATGCAGACTGTTCGTTCCTCGCCTGTCAGACAGATGCACTCCGACTTGGAAGGATCTCCAAAACTAATCGACGCGATTGCTCACACGCCATTAATATCTAGAGATGACACATACCATGCCACGCAGTGTGCTGTTTCACCTACAAACAAACATGACATGCATTCCTGTCACAGTCAATCAGTCACGTATTTTCCCACACAACCATTGTTGTTTATATGGTTTGCATTCATCAAGGGTAAACTCGGGCGGAAAGTCCTGGTTGTTTGTCCAATATATGGACTATGGCTGCGCACCAGAACATGTGCGTGCAACCGCTTTACAGATCCGTGCAGTGTTGTTTGATGCACTACGATTTCCTATGAAACAATCAGAAGAGAGACGAAAGGAGGAAGGAGGAGGAGGAAGGAGGAAGGAGAGGGAGAGAAGAGGGAGGAGGAAGAGGGAGGAGAAGGAGGGAGAGGAAGGGAAGGAGGAGGAGGAGGAGGAGGAGAAGGAGAAGGAGGAGAAGGAGAAGGAGGATGAGGAGGAGAAGAAGAAGAAGAAGAAAGAAGAAGAAAAGGAACGAAGGGGGTGATTGAGAGGGAGGAAAAGGGAGAGGGAGGAGAGGGAGGGAGAGGAAGGGGATGAGGAGGAGGAGGGGAAGAGGGAAGGAAAAGAAGGATAGGAGGAGGAGGAGAAGAAGAAGAAGACTAACGAAGGACGACGAGGAGGAGGAGGAGAAGGAGGAGGAGGAGGAGGAGGAGAAGAAGAAGAAGAAGAAGAAGAAGAAGAAGAAGAAGAAGAAGAAGAAGAAGAAGAAGAAGAAGAAGAAGAAGAAGAAGAAGAAGGAGAAGAAGAAGAAGAAGAAGAAGAAGAAGAAGAAGAAGAAGAAGAAGAAGAAGAAGGAGAAGAGCGAAGGTAAAGGAGGAGGAGGTGGAAGAGGAGCTCAAAGGCTGCATTAAATAGTTCTGAATAAAGGAATTAGCAGTTGGGCTGAACAGTTTCACAAAAGAAGACAGCAACTCTACCGCTGGACCACGGACCGTTACACTCAAATTGTATTCATCCCAAGTGATATTGCTCCGACGAAATGGAGTACTGCGAAACTGAGGGAAAGGAAAATGGGCAGAGTTTATTCGTGTTATTCTGAAAACAAAGTCTTGTTGATATGCTTTCCTCTCTGTACTTGCTTCGGTTTTACAGCAGAAAAGTAGTCTCCAACCTTAGGGTCGTCAACTAATTTTGAAAGTTTTTGAGGTTTTGAACAACGGATCAACATCTTGGCACACGGGTAGTAACCCATAAGTGCTCTGTTCTACTTCTAACTCAAGTCTGAGCCCGAAGTAGCTCAGCGCCGTGCAGGGGCTCAGTAGCACCGACGATGATCCTGAAATATTTGGGTGGATTTTTTTTAAAACTCAAAATGTTGCCCAGGCAGCGCCGTTATGCCACTCTTTTCGATTTCCAACTGCCAGTGGATTTTTTTAATGTGCGCAACAATACACACGGGCGTCAGATCTCACTACCCAGAGACCAGTGAAAATTACTAGAAGTCGATGTGAACAAACAAAAAAATCCCAGCTTTCATTGGAACTTGAACCTCGGGACCTTTAGCACTCGATGCAGACACCATACCCCGAGACCACCCAACTTCCTTTTAAATGTGGGTGCAAATATACTCTTCTAGTCATACACTCAAAAAAAAAGGGGGGGGGGGCTGAAAAGGCTGGAGATGACTGCTGTGGAACATGCGCTGATCGTCGGCAAAGAGCAGCTCGCTTCAGAAGTTTGGCAGGTCGTTAGTTAGCGTTGTTTCTTCTATTTTGGTGATAAAAATCCATAAAAATGTCGAGCGATGGTTATAGAACACATCTTTATTTATCTCAGTTCGGATGTTACTATAAACCATTCCGTGGTACCCGCTTTTGTTCTTATGACATTTTCAATTCCAAGATACATGGCTTATACACAATACACGACCTGCTGTATTTCCTGGAGTCCGGCTGTGGTATAATATAACCGTGACCTACTAAAGTAAGTCATGATCTAACAATGTACGCTTTACTCCTTATGAGCCCCAATACACTGCATTGTAATCTTACGGCCCCCGTTTGGCGTGACCTTAACCCCGTCACCTCGGTATCAACTCGTATAAACACAGTGCCAGCACCATATTCAGAATACCGCCCCCTGGCGTCAACACGGGACTTTGACTGCAGCAGATGGGAACTCTATACAACTCGACCAGAAGGCCCCACCACTGACTGTCATAAACGGTAGGGGGTGCAAGGTTCTTTAGAACCCTTTTATCTTGGCGTAATCTTATGGCTACTGTCGACGTGACCTCGACTCCATCACCACAATGCCTTTAAGTATCAAAAATACGGGGCACTTAATAGGCCCCTTGATTAATTTTTAAAATAGTGGATAGGGAGGGGGGTGAGTTACCCCTTACAGTTTACGACCAGTGTTGAAACCGTCAGAACATACTGCCCGTATTCATGGCCGCCAGAGTGTCATAGCCATGAAGTCAGGCAGAAACGGTTAATTCATCTAGTTACATGATAACCAGGCTCGGAAGTGGACAAAGGCCGCGTCCACAGAACACGCTGGAAAGAAACGCCTGCTGGCTATTGTTGAGATGAATACCTGGGCACGCACAATACGTGTCTCACGGGTATAGTTCAACTTCCCCAGACTGGAGATCTATTAAATTATTTTCAACACCACGATTCAAATCGGCGACCCACTTGTTGACCGCAAACTCTCCAGGGATGTCAGAAATTCCGAGAGCTCCGGGCAGAGTGACACAATAAGACAAACAGTGTGTCTGTTGTTTGTGCGGGGTCCAGATCCAGGAAAGCCACACAGAGAAAATGAGTCGCTCCGAGGCAAAGGTGGGGGTCTTGTTTACGACTGCTCTCCGACCATTAAACGTCGATAAATGGATGGCAATGGCGTAAACCTGTGACAAGCGAGACTGATGCAAATAAAAGGCACTGGGGATGGGGCAGCGGGCTCTTGACAGGGTTGGGGAAACATCCCAGGATAGCCGTAACTGCTAAATGGGGTACTTTTCTATTCTTGACAATATAATTCTGGTCAGGGTTGTTCTTAAAAGAGCACATTATCAAGTGCCTTGTTGACTGGCACAGGTGACCATGCCTATTCACAACCTAAAATCTCTAACAGCAAATATCAGTTTATGCCATGTTACTTCCCCATGACATAACAAAAGGATATCAAGAAACTTTTCTCTCTCTCTCTCTCTCTCTCTCTCTCTCTCTCTCTCTCTCTCTCTCTCTCTCTCTCTCTCTCTCTCTCTCTCTCTCTCTTCCTCAAATCTTTTCTTTTCAGTCGACACATGTTCATACAGGCACATTTACGTCACTATAGCCACAGTACTGGCCAAGTCTATTACATCCGGTGATCATTATCACCCAACAGCACTCGTTGCAAACGCGTCGTGCGTCGTAAACTGGATTCGATCCCAGCTGCGGACGGCTGTGTCCTGTGTTGGTTTCGACAGTGGTACCGGTAGCTGACCGATCAAGCGCAGAGGCAAACTACTGAACGTAAACATTTGCCTAGTAAAGCTACAACAGAAAAAAAAAACGCTGGGGTTGGTTCTGCAACGTCCTGTAAAGGTTTTAACTGTGCAATCAGCAGAGTGTATATTTAAAAAGACAGGCCATTGATCTACAGATGTTGTTTCCTGCCTCATTTTCCTGCATCCTCCTGGGCCCGTCCTGTGCTTATAAGTCACTCTGGGTTCACAAGACGATCAATCAGCCTGAGTTTCATGATGAATGAAGGACAGAGTAGTAATCATCACCTTTGATGGGCGACCAATAACATAGTGAACCCAACAATTGCTTCTGAGTCATAGGTCTGGTCATAAAAGGGGATGCCCAACGTTCAGTGTTACTGCTGGTGTTGGTATTTTAACACAAAAATGTTACTGATGCCCTTCCATGCCCTACACGACTGAACATACACACTATGCTATCTCCGTGTGGGTCCTGGCGCCCCATCTGGGGTCAGGGATAGAACAGACCCAACATGTAACAAGCATGTTGTAAAAGGCAACTAATTTAGAGTTTGCTAAAACAGGATATGATGAGCTGAAAGGTACAGCCTAGCTGTAAATCAGGTCCTTTACTTTTAATGCACCACATCTCAGGGACTCTGAGATTCGCGGGGAGTTCCCGGTAAAGTCTAATAGTACAGGGATTTTGAGGTGTGAAAAGAAGACAAACACAATCATACCCCCCCCCCCCCCTCCCAAAAATATTCAACTTTCACGGGAACTACGAATGAAATCTCGGAGTACCCGATGTGTGCAGTGAACAAAAATAAAGTACCGTAAACTACAATAAGGTGTTCCAATCGTCCTTTGAAGAAGAAGCGAAAAAAGGAGGAGGAGGAAGAAGAAGGTGGTAGTGGTGGTGATGGTGGTTGTGATGATGATGATAATGATGATGATGACGATGATGATGAAGAAGAAGATGATGAAGAAGAAGATGGAGGCGGAGGAGGAATATAAGGAGAAGGAGACTAAGCTAAGTCAACACGAGCAACAGATAGACGCACCTGGCTGTTGACACTTGACCCACAGGATGCACGGGTGGGGATACCTCAGAGGCCCACTCTTAACATTCTCCTGACCATCGTGCTGCTCACTCAGCAGCGAGGACATCGTCTGCTGACACTCGTAGTACACCTGAATGGCTCTACAAAAACAAGCAACAGTGGTTAAAAGGTAAGCCTGTAGAGTTTTAAAACTGAGCGAACTGTCATGCGAAATGTCATTCTTATCTAATGTTTCTGGATGAAGATACTCCGCTGATTGTGACAGTGTGGGAAACGAAATAAAATGCAGATGTTATACGGTGAAAAAAAAATAATGGACAGATTTCACCAATTTTGCAGAACAAACATGCAACAACTGACACAAAAGGAGGACTATTCAATACAGTATTGTTACCAACAATGAGTTCCCAGTAGGACACTGACAATAACAGAAAATAAAATCGAAACAACAGAAATAAAATGTCTATGATGAATCCTGAATGTAACTAAAGAAGACAGGATCAGAAATGAATTATATCAGGTGGAAAAGTCGGGCGGAACCAGTACTAATCTTCATCAAGAGGCAACATACGAAATGGTTTGGACATGTGCCAAGAAAGACTACCACCAGAGTTTGCATCACATAGAGCACTATCACTTAAGAAACAATGGAAACGGAACTGAGGTCGACCTCTCAAACCATGGATAGATGGAATATTCTAGGCCGTAAATACCAGCATCTGGGTAGCACACAACAAGGTTCTCACATGATGCGTCTCCCAAATCTGACACTCAAAGGCAGAGCAGGACCCAAGAAGATGTATGTGCATATGGAACAATGGAACCAAATGTATACTGACTTATACTTGTAATAACTTGAGTATTGTATATTATATCATAGTTAGATAGCCCAAGCTTGTACTGGTAGTGAAATAAAAATGTAGATGAATTTTGTAAAGACGATGATTATTTAATTCCGTGTATCCACTTGACTGTGATATTAAAAAAAAAAATCTGTTACTGTAATAATGCATGCATGCATTTCAATTCTTCTTCTTCTTCTTCACGTTCACCAGCTGTACACTCTGGCGTAAAGTTGTGGTTGTTCGTCCACTTCAGACCTGAGCCAAAAAATAAGCCCCAGCAAAGATTTTTCAGGATGCTCGTAATATAAGCCCTACCGCTAATATCAGCCCTAGTTAAGATCGTCAGCCAGAGGATTTCTGTGAAATATACGACGCTGTACTGAATTATAAACTAATGAATGTATAAATACTTCAATACATGCACATTTTTTATACTTTAAAAATGTGTATTTCTGTACGTAAATAAATGCATTTCTCTATTTTTTTTTTAAAACCAGAAAAGTAAAACGGAAGTGCACATAAAACTCAAGTTCTAGGACAAAAACCAAATGTTTAGAAGTGGACAAGGACTAGAACGTTCTGCCGGAATTGACACCCGGTGAAGGTTAAGAACAAGAGGCAGAAGGAGTAGAAGAAGAGGAGGAGGAGGAGGAAGAAAGAAGCTACTGGAGACAACTTTATGCAGCGTATTTTAAGAGACATACAATGGTAACCCTCATGTATGTAGTATTTAAATCCATAGACCCCAAGTCTGGTCAACTCTTTGAATGAACGTATTTATCACATAAGCATAACCATGATCTACACAGCCCTGCCTAAGTGGGAATTCCAATCCAAAAACTGTGACCTCAAAACCAGACCTCCCAGCACACGTCATGCAGCACTTCTATTCTCATGCTCCTATGGCAGCACTCTACATTCCGGGCAAGGGCAATGAGAACAACACATTATCTAATTTTTTTCCTGTTCACATTAATCCACTTGTGTCCCATGTGAAAACGCTCAACGCTCAACGTTGACAGACATGCCATGCAGTTGTTTCCTCAGCCGGTGCCATTCACGACATTCCTTGCCTACTTTGAGCGTTCTGTCTATCTCACAGGTCCCTCTTAGCTGAGAACAGTTATGTTATTTTCTATCACGACTTAGCTGCTGTTGCTGTTTGGGTTCACCAGCTTTAAACCCCGGCGGAAAGATCTGGATGTTCATCCATTTCCAGACTTTGGCTTTGTTCCAGGACATGAGTTTAGCGTGTGCATCGGTTTTACAAATCTTGCTTATTTATCTGTATTAAGACTGTTGGTTCCGTGTCTATCATGCATTTGCAATCCGACTTTAAAGGAAGCCCAAATTAGTCGACTCATGAAATGTGAGTGGGGCAGCGGGTATATTCTTGTTTTCCTCCCAATGGGACCATGGAGGGAGCTGCGTGGTCCTAATGCATTATGTCTGCCTCGAGTGCTGGAGGTTCCTGGTTCAATCCCCGTAAGGTCTGGGATTTTTTCATGTGGACTTAGACTTCTAGTAATTCTCCCTGGTCTCTGGGTAGTGAGATCGGACGCCCGTGTGCATTGTTGCGCACGTAAAAAATCCCTTGAGTTATGAGTTAGATTATCTTCACAGAACTCCGGACACATCCACAGATGCTCAGATTCCCCTATCAACACACTCATCAGCGTCATGCGGTAAACAGTACCAGTCCTTTGTTGGTTAACAAGACTTCGTGTGCGTCTGGTGTGCTTCTCATGCTTGGCTGTGCCGATCTTTACTCCCAATTCGCGTATTTCTTAGCAGTGATTTGGACACAGTGCTTCCATAATTCCCAGAACGTCCTATTCTATCAGCTCTCTCATTACCAACAACGCCTGCATACCCTGGGACAAATGTGTAAGTAACTGCCCACACAGGAGAATTTTGCAAAGACACAAGCCATGTTGATGTAACAACAGCTGTAGTAGCAGCAGTAGTTGTGGAGGTGGTAGTGGCAACAGCAGCAGTAGTAGCAGCAGCAGTGGTGATGGTAGTACTAGCAGCAGCAGCAGTGGAGGTGGTGGTTGTAGTGATAGCAGCAGTAGTAATTGAGGTGGCTGTGGTAGTGGTAGTAGCAACAGTAATATGCAACCGACCTTGCCTTCAAGGTCGACCAAGTCTAAAATTGGCACCATGAATTCTAGAAAGGTAATAGTGAAGGCACAGCTCGGCCGTGTCATCCTTACACTGCTGATTTTTATGTAAAATATGGAGCCAGCACCATATGCCTGAGGTGCCACTAATTTGAATGTGTTCTTTACCTAATTTACTTGGAAAGGAATGTGTGTGTGCGCACGTGTGTGTGTGTGAAATAATTATGCAGTAATAGCAACAATCAACACAGTAATGACAACAACCTAAATAATAATGACAACAACCAACACAGTAATGGCAACAATCAACACAGTAATGACAACAGTCATCACAGTAATGGCAACAACCAACACAGTAATGGCAACAATCAACACAGTAATGGCAACAACCAACACAGTAATGGCAACAATAAACACAGTAATGGCAACAACTAACACAGCAATGGCAACAATAAACACAGTAATGGCAACAACCAACACAGTAATGGCAACAATAAACACAGTAATGACAACAGCCATCACAGTAATGGCAACAATCACCACAGTAATGACAACAGCCATCACAATAATGGCAACAATCAACACAGTAATGACAACAGCCATCACAGTAATGGCAACAATCAACACAGTAATGGCAACAACCAACACAGTAATGGCAACAATAAACACAGTAATGACAACAGCCAACACAGTAATGGCAACAATAAACACAGTAATGGCAACAACTAACACAGCAATGGCAACAATCAACACAGTAATGACAACAGCCAACACAGTAATGGCAACAATAAACACAGCAATGGCAACAACTAACACAGCAATGGCAACAACCAACACAGCAATGGCAATATTGTACACAGTAATAGCAACAATGAACACAGTAATGGCCACAACCAACACAGTACTGGCATCAATCAACCCAGTAATGGCAACAATCAACACAGTAATGACAACAATCAACACAGTAATGACAACAATCAACACAGTAATGACAACAATTAATAAAATTAAGACTATGCATACCTGATTATTTTCCTGCGATTATTTGGATGCATCTGTGAAGCTGTTCCTGGGTCAATGATTTGCAGATGTGAGTATAAATCCAGAGAATCCATCCCATTAAGGCACCTCAGTAAAGCATTAGAATCATCCGTGAAATCCTGGAGATTCTTTGCTGGATCATTAATCCCATCTTCTGGCGATAACTCCCTGTTGAAGCTATTATGTGATAACCCACTAGTATCAGATGGCAAACTATGAGCATCACTTGATCCACGACCACAATCTGATGAATGACTACACGATAATCCACGATTTGATGTTTGGCACAATAATCCAGGATTGTCTGAAGATACTTGGTACACTAATCTAGGATTGTTTGAAGATAATCCAGGATTGTTTGAAGATAATCCAGGATTGTTTGAAGATAATCCAGGATTGTCTGAAGATACTGGGTATAATAATCCAGGCTTGTCTGAAATTTGGCGCGCTAATCCAGAACTCGAAACACCACAAGATAACTCACAACTGCACGATGTTGTTTCTACACACAATGCATTATCATACACTGAACCATCCAGTCTTTGAACAGAAGAAACTTTCTCACTTCTTCCAGCACCCCCATCAACAGATGTTCCACATGAATCTCTGGGAGAGGATGTGTCTACACTTGCAGCAGAAAAGCCATGCAAGGATTGAGTAGTAAGTGTTTCTAAAGATGGCGTATTGTCCGGATTTGAGCTTTCTGGTGCTGCTCCATTATTTGAGAATAAACCACCAATTCGACTGCAGAAATTGATCAGGATGATGGAAGGAAGATGTACTAGTAAGAGATTCCAAAACAACACGTGAAGATCCATTACACAGTGTCTCAGAATTAGAGCTACAGCTTTGAAGTACTTGATCTGGACATGATGTCTGCCAAGATGATGCAGATGATGATAGTGACTGCTGTGAACCAGCTGTACACTGTGAGCAATCAGCAATATGTGGAAACCCTGCGACGGTCAGTATTTCATGAGTGTCCAGCTTCTGGGCCGCTGCGCTCCCAGAGGTAGATCTCACAAGTTGTGGATCAATCCCCGACTGTACGAATGGTATCCCTGCATCATCTGTATCTGAAATCCTGCTAGGGTGGTTAAGTTGCCTTCTTGTGTAATTACTGCATTGTGGACTTGAGATCTTGTGCACCATGTCAGACTTTGTGTTGCTACCGGAGGAGTGCTGCAAAACCAGAACATTGAGAAGTACATTATTTTAAAGAGTACATCCTTAAGTCGGCTCTGTGGCTAAGTCGATGCGAACACTTCGCTTCGTAATGCCGGGATGCCAGGTTCGATCCCAGCTGCAGGCAATGCGCCTTGCGTTGGTTTCGACAGTGGTATCAAGAAAGCCGACCGTCCAGTAAGCAATGGCAAACTACTGGACGTAAATTTGCCTAGAGAAACCACACAACAGCCAGGGGCTGTTATGGTTGGTTCTGCAACGTCCTCTAGAGGATACGCAACAACATCCTTAAACATTAAATATTAACATTCAGTTATACATGGTAGCCTCTGTGGGGAATTGGTCAAGCCGTTCGCATAGGGCACGTCGTTCGGTTCTGGAGTGCAGTTTTAACAGCAGTCCCCGTGGGGGTCGTCGCTGGAGCTACCGAGTTCGTGCTGTGTGCGACGCTCTCGGCGTGCGGCTAGCCGTTTTGCGGACAGAGGCCGAGCAATCTGTGATAAAACCAAGTGAAATGCAATCGATCCTCTTGACTAACTTCTTTAAAATAAAACTTTTATACACACACACACACACACACACACACAACACACTTCAGACAGACAGACAGGTGGACCAATGGAAAAACATGCTCTTTTAATGTGGTAGTCAATATATTTAGACAGTTATATCTCTCTCTCTCTCTCTCTCTCTCTCTCTCTCTCTCTCTCTCTCTCTCTCTCTCATATTCTATATCTCTACACACAATTCACCCAGGCACACAGCTGAAAATGATCACAACATGTGCCACGCCACGCAGCGCAGACGACAAGTCTGTTTCCTTAAACGTGTACATGTGTCTGTTCTTAACTTTTTCAGTGTTAAATAATGGGGTAGTTTCCCTTTGATTAGCTCGCGGCTTTGAGCTACATCCTCACGCAGGTGACGAGACAAGCACATATGAACACAAACACACGGGGACATCCTCTATGGTGAAATAAAGAAGGGTAGTAGATATCGAGGTCGACCTCTACTGCGATATAAAGAGGAGGCAGGGGACTTCAGACCCTTGCCTGAAAAACAAACATGTAGACATTAGGGCATAAACAGCAGTTGTTGCAGCCTAGCAGTAAGCCACAACGCCCTTTAACGACGAACGTAGAAAAAAAGAAGAAAAGAAGAAGAAGAAGAAGAAGAAGAAGAAGAAGAAGAAGAAGAAGAAGAAGAAGAAGAAGAAAGAAAGAAAGAAAGAAAGAAAGAAAGAAAGAAAGAAAGAAAGAAAGAAAGAAAGAAAGAAAGAAAGAAAGAAAGAAAGAAAGAAAGAAAGAAAGAAAGAAAGAAAGAAAGAAAGAAAAAGAAAGAAAGAAAACTGCAGCAAAAGAAGAACGTGGAGGATGAGGAAAAGGAATAACACAATGAAAAACATAAAGATATAAAATGACACCTGTAGCTAAATATAAAGACATAAAAACGACACATTTCCGGGTTCTTAAGCCAAGAGTTCTGGAATCGTAAATTCAGGGACAAGGACTGCTGCTTGTCGGAAAGACTGACGTCACGGACCAGACAAGGATCTTAGATCTGGGAGCCATGTGGTGTGCACCCGCAGCACTAAACCAGACAATACAGAATTACCGGTCACTGGAATCCAAGACTGGCCACCGTAACAATTCTTATCCGGACTTTAACTTCCGGAGATTTGATTCCTAAAACAGAACATAATTCCTGCTCACCTACGCAAACTAAACATCAAATACTTAATGCCACATTATTTCTCAAGACAACAAACATCTCGGTTAAGCTCTTCCAAATAATGTGAAGCGTATCTTCCTTCTTCTCGCCTTCTGTCTTAATCTTCGATTCCAGGTTCAATTGGGACTCGGATGCGTCTTTTTTTTTTTAAACGTACTAGTACTTCAAAATGTGTCCAAGACCGATGAAGACCAGAGTTGAGTTGTTGCATGTCCTTTAAAAAAGATGCAAACCAACCCCCATGTGTTCAATGGTGTGTGGCTTTAGTTATACTCAGTAGTTTGCCACTGCTTGCTGAAAGACTGAACGACGATGAAATCAATTCCAATCCCTTTAAAGAAAGAAAATATAAGGTCGACCGCTTTCAGACTGCTGCTAGCTAGCCGAAGCTGCTAGCAGTCTCCGTCTATATTTGTGGTCTGGGTTATTTGCGTCCCTTTCGTGACTAAAGTTTTGGTATTTGCGCAGTCTCTGTGCTTGATGCTTCTTTCCTTCGAGTCAGACCGCTCGTTCTCTTTTCAGTTAGCTGAGTTTTTCTTGCCTTTTCCTTCCTAGTGTTTCCTCCTTCGTTTCATCTCTCTATGACTTGGCCAGGCGTATTTCGTAGGAGAGCGAGCTTCTATACATAACGTCCTTTGGACCACCATCTATAGTTTTTTAAAAGTTTTGAGAATTTCACTTTGCCAAAAAGTACTGAAAACAGTTGTGGGTTTTGGATAGATCCGATAAACTCTAAGCATGCCTTCGTCGAATGCGTCACACTTACGTCTGCCACTTATAAAAGTGGAACATCGAAGCAAAGTCAAAAGCGTCCCTCACGAACTGTTCAGGTTTGTCAGTCACAGTGTCAACATCCAGACAAACAGTCAAAGGTAATCTGACCCCACAGTAATGACCTTTCATAACAAACCATAGGAGACTGGTTAAAACCACACGCACCGTTGTGTATATAACCGAGTCAGAATAGAGGCATACTTAGCAAAACTGACCGTTGAAGAAGCGGTATTCTGCACTCTGAAAATGATTGTGTGTTGTGTGTCACTATCATAATCATCATGTAGCAGGTCCTTTGCAGAACGTCGCTCTCATCACGGTCTGCCTGAAAGAAACTGTCTCTCGCCAGCTCTCCCGCCTCATGTACTTTCATACTCAAGGAGTCACTTATAACCTGTGCCCATCTTTATGTCGGCCGGCCCAAGCTCCTTGCTCCTGGTACTATGCCTTCTGCTATAATTTTTTTCCAATCCGTCGTGGCGCTTGATATGACCAAAATATTTCATCTTCCGAGACAGGATGCTGTTTATTAGCCAATCTTCCTTGATGTTCAGGTCTTTCAAGATGTCAATATTTCTCCCCTTCTGTGTCCAAGATATTCTGATAATCTTTCTATAGCATTTCAGTTCAAAAGCCCCTATTCTCTTTTTTAAGGACTGAGATAGTCCTACGATTCACATCCGTATGTTGCTACAGGGAAGATGCATACAATTCTTATTTTTTTGATCTTCCTTGCTGTTTAATGTTTGGCTATGCTTAACCAAAGTCTCCACTTTAAGAGCCTAGATATTTAAAGTTTTTAATCTTGTGCATTGCTATGGCCAGAATATTCCCTTGTTGCACGTTTAGTTGTGTGTGGTGTGTGTGTGGAGAAGTGTGTGTGTGTGTGCAAAAGGGATTGAGACTCGCAATTCACAAGACATGACGTCAAAGAATCCAGCAGAGAATCGCCAAATAGGCACTGGGCTGGAGAAGGTGCGAAATGGATTGAGGAAGACATGGTCTATTAATATCGAAAGTATTGCAAGGGTAGAACCCGGAGTGACACTTGATGGCGCAATATCGTATGAAAAGCAGGGTGAGTGAGTTTCTCCGTACTGATATGTATTTCAAGCTGTACGACAGACGTGGCAGATACAGACACCTTTTTACGATGGAGTGCCTATTTGGTAATGTTATCCCCGTGTCTTGTGTAATAACGATGGGAGATTATGGACATCTTGGCGTTGAAAAAAACTGCTGCACTTTAAGCACCCCTGCTCCCCCCCCCTACCCCTATTATTAGTATTACATAGGTAAACGAGATATTTAAAAAAATAAAGCCGGCTGACCTTTGAAACCAGCACGTCGACCGATGGCTGTGCTTGTGGGGGGGGGTCGGAGGAAAAGCGGAAATCAGCTTGACTAACTGAACACTATTTGAATTCGTGTTTTTGTTCGAGGGCCTACTGTGGGCGGGGAAAGGGAGGGGGTG